TGTGTGTGTGTGTGTGTGTGTGTAAGGGGGAAGATATACCTTTTCAAGACATACCTGAATTGACCTACTTACTCAAACTAGGTCCCACATCCTAGTAGTCCATTCTGCTATCAATTGATTAATTCATCAGTGAGATCAAAGCCCTCATCATCCTATCATTGCTGAAAGCGCCTCCTGTGAACCTTGCTGCACTGGGGACCAAGCTTTTGGACCATGGGTTTTTTTGCGTGGGATCCCAAATCAAAATTATAACAGATGGTTTGACATATAAGTGATCACATGGCACCACATACCAAGATCTCAAATCATAATGTTCCCTTCAGAAACAGTCATAAAGCAAAACAAGAAGAATAAACAATCGTTAAATTCTTTTTCTACAATTGTATTTTTGTGGTTGAAGTGACATAATTTCAAGTTAAATTAGCATTTGAAATTAAATTTTGATTCATATATATATATCAAGAAACTTCAGTAGTAAACTTAGCTTCTGGAATAAATGAAAACCATGTCATCAGTTATATTCTTCCTGTTTGCTGGCACTGTTTTATTTCATGAGAACCTTTGATTTAGTTACATGAAGACAAGAGGAGCAGCGGAAACTGGCATTGGTCAGCTATTGAGTTGCAGTTGAATTAAACCCTCACCATAGTTTAGCTGCAAAATTAGCATCTAAAGCTCTATCTACCAACATATGATAGAATACAGAAGGAAAAGTCTACTGCTTAGTAATATTGAGGATTAAAGAAGTGCCTTGACTTGCATGAAATACATTATTATTAGTCAGGTGTTCAGAGTCAGAGTCTCAGCTCTCTTTTCCAACCTTGGACTATCATTGATTTCTTCAAAAGTATGTTGATTCTTAACCCATATTTTATTATTTAGCAGTAAGAGACTGAAAATAGTATAAATCTATTTAACTAACCTAAAAATATACACAAGAGTTAATAACTAGAATCAACAAATGGGACTTACTCAAACTAAAAAGTTTTTTCTCAGCAAAAGAAACAATAAGAGAGGTAAATAGGGAGCCTACATCCTAGGAACAAATCTTTACTCCTCACACTTCAGATAAAACCATAATATCCAGAGTATACAAAGAACTAAAAAATTAGACAAAAAGACAACAAATAACCCAATCAACAAATGGGCCAAGGATCTGAACAGACACTTCTCAGAGGAGGACATACAATCAATCAACAAGTACATGAAAAAATGCTCACCATCTCTAGCAGTCAGAGAAATGCAAATCAAAACCACCCTAAGATACCATCTCACTCCAGTAAGATTGGCAGCCATTCTGAAGTCAAACAACAACAAGTGCTGGCGAGGATGTGGGGAAAAGGGTACACTTGTACACTGCTGGTGGGACTGCAAATTGGTGCAGCCAATTTGGAAAGCAGTATGGAGATTTCTTGGAAAGCTGGGAATGGAACCACCATTTGAACCAGCTATTCCCCTTCTCGGTCTATTCCCTAAAGACCTAAAAAGAGCATGCTACAGGGACACTGCTACATCAATGTTCATAGCAGCACAATTCACAATAGCAAGACTGTGGAACCAACCTAGATGCCCTTCAATAGATAATGGATAAAAAAAATGTGGCATTTATACACAATGGAGTATTACTCTGCATTAAAAAAAGACAAAATCATAAAAATAGAATTCATTGGTTTTTTTCCTAATCTTTCCACATGCTAATAGTTTCTGAGGAGCTAATCGTTTTCCCTGAATGTGATACCTTATCTGTGGTTGACTGGCTCTGCAATTTTAGGGGTATTTCTCTTGCCTGTGCTTCACAGCTTTGTGCAGTATTTACAGCACCTCCCAGATGGGTGTCTTTCTCAATTTAATTATCATCCAGCTTATCTTCCCTTCCAACCTCATTTATGAAAATGTTAAATAAGACCAGCCATAATATCCATGTCCCTGAAGCACACTCCTCAACACCTCTTCTTAACTTGATGTGTTGCCATTTATCATTAAATTCTTTTAGCCAATTTAAGTCCCAGGAAGAATGTTAATATTGAATCCAATTTGAGCTAAATTTTAATTAAGATTTCCTGAGACATTTTGCTTAAGTGATTTACTATAATCAGAATTGATATCTCCTCTCCTACCCCCACCCTCTAATTATCTAACTTTATCCACACACAAAAGAGAACGAATTTATCTGACTTGAACAGTGCTTCATAAATATACATCATTCATTTTGGCTGTTTCTATGAATAGTTTCCTTCTTTGTTGCCTGAAGGTCTATGTCTGTCATTCTCATGTATGTCACAGAATCATTTAATGGAATGTCTTTCCTTCTGGCAGCCACATCTGTCTACCCTAAAGTATCCAGCCACAGGATTTAGCTGTATGAATGCCAGTCTCTCAAATTTCCTTTTATCTTCCAAGTATTTTTGTTATTGATATTTCTGTGTACAATATCAAGCTAAATGCAACTGCAGTAAATTCAGAAATAGAACATATCCCACCTATCCATGTAATCCTCATAGAGTGTTGTAGAAGAAAAACTTTGTTTAGATTTCTGGAGAATGTTAAAACTGAACCTTCAAATGGGCCATTCATTACTATGAAGTGAAACTGAAGTGAAGTTTCAAGGTACATGTGGACATTCACAGGGTATCAAGAAAGCAGTGTGTCCCAGAGGACTTGTCAGATTCCCAATGGAGTCTGTGAGCTATAAAAAGCTCCTGACATTATAGAAGTAAAACATGGGATTAGAGTCACATGAGAAAATGTAATTAAATAAGGAAAAGATTTCTACTATGTATTAAAGTTGTGTATGTTTTCCTTATAGGAAACATAGAAATAGACATAGAAACATTTTGTCTTCTTCCATGTTTAAATCTCATCTATTTTCTTCCTCATGCAAATTTTGGTATGAAGAAAACATAAAGTTCTGTGAATGTTTGTAAAATGCATATTATAATACTTCCCACTAGAATCCATTTCTATTCTTTTTCTTTCTTTAGTTTGTATATATGTATCAGGAAATCAAGGATCCTTGTCTATAATAATAATTATTCTTTAATGTTGTTTTATAGGATTAATAAAAGTTATTTTCTTGTCATATAGTAACCCAAATATACTGTTTTATTAGATACTCTTTGCCTCAAAATGACTATAAATAGGTGCATATTAGCTCTACGTGTGTTTAGATGCTTATACAATATCAATTCAGGGGGTCTGAATATTTTTATTTACTCAAAAAATTATATCTGGAGTTGCATTAACTTTTATTTTCTGCAATTAAAGGAACACTAGTTTATTTTCTATACTGCAATTCTGGAAACCTTATCAGTCTTTCACACATCAGTGTCAGCAAGATTATAAGGCAGGAATACATTATGATGGAAAAAAGTGAGAGCAAAAGGAAAGATGGCAGTAATAAAGAGCACTTTGCCATTTTTCCCCTGATCTCAGAATTCAGAAATATGTATTTATGTATCAACAACAGGAAGTGAGAAAAAATATTAAATTTTCTACAGGATATTGGATTTTATGTTAGGAATTTCCTTTGTTTTATTTATTTAACATAAAAATAGTCTTCAAGATTCAAAGGTTTTCTTAAAAAAGAAGAAAACCTTTTTGCAACTGTGATTTTTTTCAGTATCCTAATAGAACACAGGAGCCTCAAATCAACAAAACAAGAGCATATATGCCAAGAAAAGTTTCTTCACTTATATTTTGTCTTTGAAAACAAGCTCCTTGTGGTTTGGGGGAGGAAAAAAATAACACAATGGTGAAAAGTTGAATCCCAAGAGGATTTATGTTGTGATTTTCAATTCCAGCTCACTGCAGTCGACGCAGATGAAGGGTCAAATGGGGAGATCACATATGAGATCCTGGTTGGGGCTCAGGGAGACTTCATCATCAATAAAACAACAGGGCTTATCACCATCGCTCCGGGGGTGGAATTGATAGTCGGGAGGACTTATGCGCTCACGGTCCAAGCATTGGATAATGCTCCTCCTGCAGAGAGAAGGTAATTTATATTAGAGCCAATGCAGTCTTTTTGCTGCTCATGTTTAACCCTATAATTAAATTTAAGAGGCTCGGCAAATATTCTTTTATCCTGTAAACATCCAAATTAGAACAGAAAATATCAGAGCATTCTCAGGAACTGCGTATTCTTATTGGTTAAATTTTGGGAAGAGGACATTAAAATTAATATTAAACCACAAAATTATTAACTATGATCTCACAGATGAAGGAGGAAGGTCTCTGTTCTAAAGAAGAACTGGAAGATATCAGAGGCATGTTTCCAATTTATTACTCAAAAACAAGGTTGCTGACAGTGAAAGACTCTTTTCTTCAAAGAGCTTCACAGATTGTCAGAAGCACATTATTGTCAGGATTTTGAAACCACCTCTCAGTGAGTAATTATTAAAATTTATACATAAAATATAAATGTAAATAAATATATATATATATATTACATATATATTACATACTACAGACATGCACACACACACACACACAGAAGTTTAAAATTTTACTACTACAACTATATTCTTTTAGTTCCCCATTTGAGATACCTCTTAATAATGAATTATTTCCAAATTTTTAATAGACATTTCAAAAAATATTAATGAATATGAATATAGTCTTACACTTTGCTGGATTATTTATCTTTCACCATTTGTCAGTTTTTGGTTTGTGTTTTCATATGAATTCTGGATAAACTCCTCAAATTTTTTCACAGCTATTTATATTTTTTCAGATGTATGTGATTCTGTTTAAGAAGGCAACTTTCCATGCATTTTTATTTCATTCTTTTATACTGATAATAGAGAAGTAAATAAATTGAACATGTATCACTTTAATGAATATGTACAAGTATATAAATAAATTCCCAGTGGAAATTTTAAATTTTCTTGATAACTGCCATGTTACCAGCTATAAAACTTATAGTCTAAAATTTCAACAACAAAGTCTAAAAATGATATTCTATACAATTTCTCTAGTTGTTATTAAGCATTTATTTTTAAACATTTGTTATTCATATTGTCCCTATTCAATAGGTAATATATAGTATCTATTTTTATCCATGTGAGTATATTTCCAATGTTAAACTGCCAACTCTACTACATTTGCTATGAATTCTGGATTCATAAAATTTTGTTTGTTTTTCTATTGGTATGTTAAGCCCAGCTTACAATTAATCTATATTTTCTAATATTGCTTTTGGGGATTACAATTGTTACTGTAGGTATAATTGCTTTCAAGCCTTTGTTGCATTTGGGAATTATTCTAGTTTTCAGTAGATGTATTGATGCTGCCACATTTTTTCAGACAATTATCCTGTTGTCCCAACACAATATATCATATAGTTCATTTCTTCACTAACTTGTAGTTCCATTGATTATATCATAATTGTAACATATATTCCTTATGTATTTGGATTCGGGTCTATTCTATTTCATTATTCATTTATTTTTCATGAGCTATCATCATATAAGACTTCACTTCTGTCCTGATGGACAGTTTTGAAGGGGACTGTAGGCATAGAATTTATATACAAAACCACCATTGGAAGATTTTAGGAAAAAAGTTTCTGATACTTACACCAAACATCTAGCAAGAATGGAGATGAAATTTTCATAAATATAAATAAACCTCAGGTGTTTGATTAAGGTGACTTGGCAATGGTATTGTCAAAATAGCACACATGATTTAAGGACATGAATTCAATTTTGGGCACACTAATTTTGGATGTAGCCATTGTTAATATACCAGAAAAGCAAATAGGTATAGATGCCTAAAATGATAAAATGATTAAATGCTATTTCTTAAAAGAAAAAGTGTAATATTTTTATATATTGAATAGTTATGGAATTTAAAATAAGTGTAAAATGAAATTTGAATCAATTTCAAATAATAGCTTAATTGAAGATAAGTTATTCTAAGAGGAATTAAAGATTATTAATAACACTGAGTATGCAGTAAGGCTAAACATGCTATCATTTTACATACGTAATTTCTAATTTTAATAACATTGTGAATGTTTGTATAATTATATTTAGTTTTGAGTCTAGAAATCTGAGATTGAAATAGGATAATTTACTTTACTAAACACTCCATCTAGCAACCTCTAGCTCTGCAATAAGCAAGTAATAGAGCTAGAACTTGAACTGAGATATGTTGGATTCAAAAACTTTCTCCTCCCACTCTCTTCTATATCCATAAACTCTGTGGTTATTATTTTAGAGAAAAGGTACTACAATTGGTTATTAGCAACAAAGTAATTCTAATAAAAAGAACAAATTTACCTTTATTTTACTTGAAGCTTCAATAAAGTCCTTTCATATTCATCAATTTATTTTAAATTTTAATTTTTCTCCATCAAACACAGTGCTGTGTCAAATGTTTCTGATCTGAGCTATATATTCCAATATGTTACGATTACTATGACTGATTACTATGTTTTTATTTGTTTTGTAATTGGGAGTTGAACTCAGTGGTGCTTTACCACTGAGCTACATCCCTAGTACCTTTTATTTTATTTATTTTGAAATAATAATAATAATAATAATAATATAATAATAATTCAGGTGTCTTACTGTGATGCAGAAGTCTCGGGAAGTTGCTTAAGCTGGCCTCAAACTTGAGATCCTTCTTCTTCAGCCTCTTCCATCTCTGGGACATACACCACTGCATGTGGCTAAATGAAAAGTTTTAAATTATTATTTTTTTGAATAGAGTAGGTGGCCTCTTTTGTGAAGATTATGTTTCAAAACTCCCTACTGACTTCCTGAAACCTCAGGTTGGGCCAAATCCTATATATGCTATGTTTTCCTTCCACTATATGCATAATTACATATTTTTATAATACAAAATGTATTATAAGAAAATTTAATTAGTAATTTAAACACATAAAATATCAACAATAATATGAATAATAATAAATAATAAAATAGAAAAATATCACACTGAAATAAAATTGTCAGCATCAGTACTCTTACACTTTGGGTCCATTATCAATCAAAATAGGGGTTATTTTGGGCTGGGGTTGTGGCTCAGCAGTAGAGGGCTGGTCTTGCATGTGTATGGCACTGGGTTCAATCCTCAGAACCACTTAAAACTAAGTAAAAAAAATAAAGATATTTTTTAAAAATACGGGTTATTTCAACACAGTCATTGCAGTTCCAAATGTCCATGTGATAACTAAGATGGCAACTAAACAACTGATGGGTAGGGAGCATATACTCTGTGGATATGCTGGACAAAGGCATGACTAATATCACACAAACAATGGAAAGGGATGATATAAGAGTTCATCATGCTATTCGGAATGGCTTGCGATTTAAATCTTAGGAATTGTTTATGTCTAGAATTACCATGTACAATTTTTGGACTGTGGTTGTCTGTGAGCAACTGAAAAAAACAGAAAGCAAAAAAACACAGATAAGGGGGACAACTGTATTTTATGAATGAGATTTCATAATCCTCAGCTTGCTCAGTTCCTATTTGCAAGTTGTGATCACCTCTTTGCCTGAATAAGCTGTTACCTGTATTGATCAGTACAAGAGTAGATTGTACCTGAGTAAAATTGTATTCCTCTCTGGGAAACAAAGGGCTGCCTTCAGAATCTAATTGCTATGTCTTTTCACTGATACCAGGCATAGTTGACCTAACCACTCTTTTTCTTTTTTTAAGAAAATGGGTTGGATACTAAAGAATCACCTTATAGCATGTGGTCAAACGTCAGGTGGGAGCTGCAGAGAGTAAAATCCATATACCTTCATTTCACTTGCTGGGATAATGTCCTGTGCATTGCAGGATAATGACACTTGCAGTTTCTCTGGAGGGAAATGAATCCTTCAAATTGAGTTGATGAATGAACTGTGTTGTGAGGTTTTGCTTTTTGTTTGCTTTATGAAGAAGATGCTATTTTTAAATTTTTAAATTATGAACATAAAAATATAGGTTACGATATACTTCATAGATTGACCCAGACAGCCACAGTATTAGCTAAATATAATTAAATAAAAGCATCAAAAACAATAGTAGCAGTGTTCAAAATTTGAGAAATTTCCATATTAGTTTTCTTTCAGATTGGTAACTTCAATTTAGAAATTTAAATAACATTGAGTCTCAAAATATCCAAGATGAATTTACTGTTTATGTGTCTGTTATTTCAGTTCGGTAAAGGATCTAAAGATTCAAAGTGAGAAAAGAAATAGTCTATAATTGACTTTTTTGGTGCTCATTTGTTTTAGGCTTTGATGAGAAGATGAGTAGAGACAAAAGGTAAAAGCTAACAGAAGTCATAAAACATTCTGGGGTACTGTTAACACTAATCGTGTCTCTAACTCACCTTCTTAGTATATAATCCAGTTAAATTGAATAAATATTTATTAAGTTCTGGTGTGAATAAAGCACAACTGCTAGGTATTTATGAATATATAAGAAAAAATAAAAGGCCCTGCTCCTAAACAGCTTCTAATATTTATTGTAAAATGATGGTTTGATAGAGAACGAATCATTTTCCCCACTTAATTCTTGGAGTCCAAGGCTATATATAAATAACTACATATAAATAATCTATTCTCCAATTGAATAATTTTTCCATTGTGAATATATAGTCTTTAAATAACTTTATGTGTTATATTTAACATTAATGAAGACATGATAAATAAATACTGATTTATTTTAACAAAAATTTACTTTGTTTGCACAAGTCCTAGTCTCTTGGGTAGGCATTGGAAATAGAGGTAACATGAGACCTCTGCCCTCATAGCACTCAGAAGATGGCAGAAGAGAATGTCAGACTCACACATAAAGGGGTAGTAATAGAATATCCATCTTGGGGAAAAAAGAGCAAGATATTGGAGATACAGGAAAGCAATGCTGTGGGAACAGGAATGGTTTGACACATTTGATCATATCATTGACCTGCTTAAAATTTGTCAACCATTCCCCATTACCAAGATGAAGTTTGATTTAACACTATTTGCAATCTCCAATCAGAACTCCAACTGCTGTTCCATGTATAACCATATTTTTAGCTTTATAAAACATAGTTTTCTAGTTTATTTCTCTGTGAATTTGCACATATTTTTCCTGTCCGTAATGCCCTACTGTTTTTACATGTAAATACATTTTACATTTTAAAATTCTGCCCCTTAATTTCCCTTAAGAGTTTATCTTTGACCTCTTATGTTGGTTTTAAATCTGAGGTCCTCTGTGGATTGCTATTTGTACTTTCAAAATAGTAGAATAGAATCAATGAGCATTGAACTATAAGTATAGCTTTTCTAGGACCATGTTCGTGAGAAAGGAAAAAAATTTCTTTAAGTCTATTGAGGAACGCAATATAAACACCTATAATCTTTGTCATAGAAACAACATGGTTGAAATGTAGAGTTACAAATAGACATAACACATGTTGACATATTTAATAGAAAATTGTATAGAAAATAGCATATATTGTACAATCCTCTAAATGCCAGCAACATTCTCTTGTTACTGATTATTATTGTAATATGACAAAAGTTTGACTTTAATTTGTACCATTTCCCAAGTTAAAGCAACGTAGGTCCATCCTTACACCTCCCCTTTATTCATGTTTTATTTTATTTATTTTATTCTTAAAAGAGTTATGTTTGGGGCTGGAGTTGTGGCTCAATGATGAAGCTCTTGCCTGGCATGTGTGAGGCCCTGGGGTCAATCCTCAGCACCACATATAAATAAATAAATAAACAAATAAATAAATAAATAAAAAGATCTATTGACAACTAAAATATTTTTTAAAAATAGTTGCTTTTGATGATGTTTCATTCCTGGTATAAATAAGTAAAAATTGTGATTTCATAGTCTGAACCCAAGACTTGAAATAATTTATGTCATCATGTGACATAAACATGATGGTTTGTTAAAAACCAAGAATGTCTTATATTCACACACATCAGATGAGTAAAAATTCTCCAGTGTATTTCCTAAATTTGTTCTTCTGAGATGAAAAGGAAAAAGGGCAAGCAAAGTCTGAATGTTAAAATCTTGCTTTTTTGGTTAATCTGTTTTTGCTAATTAACTTTGTAAACTTAATTCAGTGACTTATTATTTCTGATTTTTAAATGACCTTTATAAAACTATCTGCCCAAATTTGATGATGTAAAGTCTTTAAAATCACAAGATTACTTGAGAAATGCATTACCTCTTTTTTTCTTCTTTGACCTTTAATACCAAACGTGAAAGAATAGAGTATAATGGTTTTCGTGTTTGGAAACAGAGATTTATATACATCAAACCAGCTTTATACAAAATAAAATTTGGTTATATAAATGTTCAGTTTTATGTATTTAGAACTGTGAATAAAATGTAAACATGAAATACATAAAATATTATTTACTTAGTATATCATTTATGTGTTTAAATGATGCTGTTGAAATACTACTATTTATTACAACATGAATGTTATCATTTTCTTGTTAATACTGTTGGTTTTCAATTTAGAAAAGCTAACTCTGACACTCTGTTGACATCAGTAATAAAAAGAAGATATCATTTTAAAAGTCAATAACTCTTAAGATAGTGCTTATTTAAACACATGGAAGGGAAGTGACAGGATGTTCAAGATGATAGTAACCTTGAAATGAAATTTTTCCAAAACTCTAAGATCAAAGTCCAAGAAGGAAAATAACATAATTAGTAAATATAGCATAAATTATTTTAGAAAGTGAAAGGTGAAGCAAACAACTAAGTGTAGAGGAAGGTAACAGTCACATTGGACAAAAGCTGGTCTGTGTTCTGCCCAAGATCACACAGTGGCAGCACCAGAAGTGTAATCTGAAAATGTCTGAGCATAAATCCTGGCCTCAATATCACTTGCCTAAAGTTATTAACACTAGTTATGTAAAACATAGTATGCATAGAGAATAATAAGTCCAATGCTACAGAACATATGTATAGAGAAGACACAGTCAGGAAAAAGGAAGAGACATAAAATTACTGAATGACTTGATAAATAGTACACTAAAACAAGCCAAGATTCTCAAGGGTAAAAATATCCAGGAGAATGTACCTCTTGGTGTGGCTGTTGGGTTCCATTCACCATCTAGAAGGATATGAATTCTACCTCCAAATTAAATCCCATTGTTCTCACAATATGAGACAATATGAGAATTGGGAGTCTCTGTAAAGTATAATAGATTTTGTAAATTTCTATTATTTTATTTTCATATGAATTAAAGTTTATAAGCAACATTTAATTTATTTTAACCTATTTTAAACACTCTGAACCTAAAGGCTAATCTTATTATTAACAATTTTAATTATTTTATATATTAGTACATATAAATAAATTATTTTTATTATCTTATACATTCATATATGAAAAAAGTAAAATTTTATTAGGAAATTTTAATAGTAAAGTGTTAACTCAGATGCAATAATGAATAGAGGTATCATAATTGAATACAAGAGTCTAAAATTTGAAATAAACTTCCTTTGGAACAATAAATGCAAGAATGAAATTCTCTAAAGTCATGTAGCTTTTCAGTGATGCCTAATATCCTATGGCTATGTGTCTACTGAGGATCTGCTCAGAAACAACTTAGATTCCAGGATATTACAAAGTGACAAGATATAAAACTAAATCTCAGTGCTCATGATCTGTGTTTCAGTGAAAAGCTTTTCAAAAAGTAGGATGGCATACTTAATCTGAGAAAAATGTGTTTGGTGATCATGTCTTTCAATTGAAACACTTATTAAAGACTTTGAGAAAACAAGAACATTTTAGCCACAAACAGAAACTATAATTAATATGTTTTAAACTAAAAATCATGATTTTGTTAAAATAATGTTTAAAGCATACATTTCAGGCCATGTTTGTATGTTTACATAAGATGTATATGTATTTCAAGATGGAGGACTACCTTTTTGTAATTTATAAAATTTTATAATTTATATATTTTTGCCAGTGTTTCTTTATAAACTTTGCTTCTTCAGTTTTTATTATGGAAAAAAAAGAGTTTAAGATGTCAAAAACATTTCTGTCAGTGTTATTTCTTTTATGCTTGTAATAACAAAGTATTTCCTTATTCTTCAAGAAAATTATGGGTCAAGAAAGGCATTAATTAAATCTCATCTTTTAGTTTTTTCATATTATATTCTTTAAACAAAGACAGTAAAACCCATTTAGTTTTGTTTTCAACTGTTTTATGTAAGAATTAATTTATGTTCTTGACTCTACATATACTTACATTAAGTCACTCGTGTCAACTACAGAACTAACAAAACAGTCCATAATTTGCTTTTGTGTGGTATTTTAATCAATACTTCCTCTGCTGGTTTAATAGGAAGAGAGATCAAAGGACAGCTCCTATTACCAGATGTTTATAGAATATTTTTTGCTATTAAAAAAGCATTGAAAAATAAAGTCAAAAGTCAATCCATGTTAATTTATTAGCTTTGTTGTATAGCTATAACTTTTTAATTTGTACTTTTACCTAAGTTAAAAAAATACAGAAATAATTCCTTTCCTTTTTAGTAAGATAATTTTGTAGAAGTGTTATGTTCCAGAGGAAGCTTTTATTTTTCTATCCTTTCAAGCTGATTTTACTATTTTCTATAAAGTTTGAAAAGCTTTTGGCCTATGAAACCCCCCAAAATGATAAAAGGTTCAGTTTATCTTTAAATGCTATGTAGCTTTTTAAACATCTTGTTCACTTCTCATTTTCTGCAGGCACTCCATCTGCACAGTGTACATTGAAGTGCTTCCTCCAAATAATCAAAGCCCTCCCCGCTTTCCACAGCTGATGTACAGCCTTGAAATCAGTGAAGCCATGAGGATTGGTGCTGTTTTATTAAATCTACAGGTATGCTTGACATCACACACACACACACACACACATACACACACACCTTCTAAAGTGACAAGCTGGAGACTAATGAGTTTATATTTGTTCTTTAGGGGTTGAGAGGGTGGGTTGCATGCCTGCTTGTATTCTAGAGAATGAAAATTCCATCTGGAAAGGAAAGCAAGCATAATATGGATGTAGGGTTTGCACAGCTAATCTATTCTATTGATTGCCACAATGAAGAACTAACGTTTGGCTGGCAGGGATTAGCTGTAATCATTACAGGAGAAAATGAAGGGATTGGAAACATGCACTTGAATATTTTATACTTTGCAACTAAAGAGTTTGCAGCTGACTATTATTTTCTGTCTTGGGTGCCCTTGCCCAGCTGTATTTATTTTTGCTACTGTGTTGTATAGGGAAATAACCTTAGACTCAAAGGTTGATGATAGGCATTCTGACTCTAAAGCAAATTCTATTCTATGGTTGCAGGCTAGTCTTATAATTATGTGCCTTGGTGTATTCATTTAGATAAGAAGTATATATTTAGCTGATGTTTCTATTTCCAGTTCAGAATCATGGGCATATGAGTTATGTGCAAGATGATATCTTGGTTTTTACTATTTATATATTCCTGACAAAAGCACATTTGACCAGTTAAGGGTGTATCAGTGACTGAATATGCAGCTCCAGTTTGTGCTACATATGGTGTCAATAACTATCACTTGCCACAACAATCATAGAACCATAGCATGACTATTGTTTTACCTATGGGTATTCAGAGGACAGAGTTTATCTTTTCCTTGAGTTACATGGAAATAGAAGAATTTTTAAATATGAAAATTTAGGGAGCTGGCCCTTAAGATTAGGAGAGATTTTAATATGAATAGAAGCAGAAAAGTTCTAGCATCAGTCTAGGAAGTCACATAAGTACAGTTACATCATGCACAAATCTATTTGAATACTGATATGTTCTTACTCCAATCCTGATTAATTAATCATTCCATAGAATTATTCCATAGTATTGAAAATGATGTGAAAATTTAAAAAAAACACCAGCCTATATTCCAGATGTGGAAAGTGAACTTTATAAAAAATAATTGATGCTTAAGATCAGTGAACTGAATTTTCCACACTTCTAAAACAGGTCTCTTTCCATTATATCTCTCTGGTTACCCATGTTTATCACAATTTGGTTGGCTTTTCCAGGTACTTCTCTGTAGCTCACCTCAAATATTTATTTTGTTTTTATTCTGCAGGTGATTAGAAAGAGTTTGATTTTATTGTCTACTTACTATTAGAACATAAGGGAAATGAAATTGCATAAAGGAAAAAAAAATACCACTTCTTCAGGATAGAAAAAGCAGCTAGTCAAATTATTACAATGATATAGAATTGGAAAACCTAATATTAAGAAACATGAATGTAATAAAATAATGAAAATTTGTTTCTTTATATTCATGAGGATTCATTTATTGAAACAAAAAGGAAAATAAAATAAATCTTCGATTTGTAAGCTTCTTGTCAGAAATTACATGTTTTATCTTTAAATCCTCTGTAACAATGTTCCTTTATATAATTTAACTTTCTATGAGGTAAGCCATAATTTTTCTCATAAGGTGGCCTAGGTTTTATTCAATAAATCCCAGAAAGATCTAGGAAGCATATTATAGGAGAATAATGCTAGCTGTGAGTTAAAGATGAAAAGGAATTGGCCTTTTCATATCTCGGATTTCTCAGGCACAAAGGCGGAAAAAATACTTACAATGACATTTCTATTCACACTTTGTGCTGCTGGTGGAAGCAAAAAAAAAAAGGGTGCCAATTGCCCTGGCAGTCACTATTAAAAAGAATGAGGGTGACACCATCAAGGTATTTTTCATAGGCCACCAACCACCCACTTTTGTTCCTGATCAACTGAGACTGAATTTCAACGAGTGACCTAAAATTCGAAAAGCTTCCATCAAATTACTCTTCCAAAGACTTCCAATAAGGGGATGTGTTAGAGGTTCTCTGACTGCCTGTCCCCCATCTACCCTCATCAGCTTCTCACATGTGGTACCACATTTGCTGACTCATTGCTCAGTTCAAAAAGACATGGAACAGTAGAAGACAGCAGTGGACTGGCTCCCAAATAATCTTGTTTTGACTGAGATCAAAGTGATTTATTTTCAGATAACGGTCCCTGTTTCTCTCCCCACCTGATTTTTAAGAACCTTCCTTTTCTTCTGTCCAAAAGTTGTTTGGCAGGCTGCAGTGTTTCTCTTTGTATTAAGATTGTGTTGGTGATTACTGAACTGATGGCATTCAATACAGGAAAATACTAAACAAACCTCTGCCCTCTCAGACCTCTCATACTGACTGAAAGGAAAGTGAGGAACCGGGAGAGGGGTGAGCAAGAAATGAAAGATGGAGACTAGGCAGAGATATACAGGAGAGTTTATTTGTCAAAGCTGACAAATAAAGGCCATCTCTCCATAGGCGGAGAGAGTTAAAACAGGCTTGGGGTTTGGGACTTTTATGGGCAGGCTCAAGGATTAGAGCTAGGCAATCTTAATGTGGGCAGTGAAGGGTTGGGTTGGTATGCGGGAGTGGTGAGCCTTTCTCAGAAACACTCTTGGCCTGGAAAGCAAAATTTTTCTTAAAATGTTGGCTGTCACTTAAGATGGCTGTCCATATGCTAAGCAAGGACTTTACTTCCCCCCCCCCCACCATTTTGTTTGTTATTGAGCCCCTTAAGGGACAGGGTGTAGATCAATCTTCCATAGCTTCCTACTACAAAGGAATGGCATCTGGACCCTTGTTAGGGATTCAGGGTGTCACTGAGGCAATGGTGGTAGCCAGAAGGTGCTAGTGATGCTGGCTCTGGATGACCCCATTTTGGTGAGGGGTTGGAAGTCCTGAAACAGAAGCTGGTTCACTGTTTGATTAGAGAGCCTTTGAATCTGGTCATGAATAAAACTAGTGACATGGGGGCAAGCATTAGCAAAATGCCTAGAACAAAGAGAGAGGACAGGAAAGGAAGTGCCAACTTAGCCGTCATCCTTCAGTTCCAATGACAGTGGAATGCTCTGAGGACTGAAGGAGATCAGAGATAAAGGGGGCATTAGTAATTGAAGTTCCCTTGGTGGTACGGAATCTGTACTCCTTCCAAATAGCAGAGTGGGAGAGAAGTAGGTGGAAAGTATATTTAGAGACAGTGTAGACATTGAGGGAGACTCCCTTTGCCAAAGTCAAGGCTCTGATGAGGGCAACAAGTTCAGCCTGATGACTGAAAGTATTATTGGGAAGGGGAGCTGCTTCCACAACTGAGGTTAGAGAGACTGTAGCATACTCTGCCTGACCAACTCTCTCCTGAAGGAAGGAGGAGTCATCTGTGAATCAATTGTATGTTGCCTGGAGCCAGGGGCCTTCCTGTATGCAGGAGGGATGTGGAAGAAGCTCCTCCAGAGTTTCAATGCATGAATGGGTAAGAAGAGAAGAGGTGGAAGGGTCCTGAGGAGCAGGAAGAGAAAAGGAGGATTTAAAGGTGAACATGTGTGGAAACTAAGATTGGGATCTTCTACCAGGGAAACCAGTAGATATAAAAGGTGACAGTGGGGTAAAGAATGTAAGCTCTTGTAGGTGAGGAGTTCCTTTAGGTGCCGGAGAGCCAGGATGGTGAGTTGGGCCCAAAGGTGAGTTTCCTTGACTTGTTAGTGAAGGGCTGCTGCCAATATTCTTAGGAAAAGGGCTTATCCCCAACTTATCCCCAAACAGTAGGGTCAAGACCCATCAATAGATAAGCCTCAGGGGCAAAGGTCGGCCCCAGCATGTGTCCGAGGATCCCTAGAGCAAATTCCTGCTTTTCAGCTACATAAAAGGTAAAATGGGCTTGTGAGATCATGGGTACATAGAGAAAAAGTTTTGCAGTCATTCTTCTGTGTTGGAGCCAAGGGAAAAGTTAAAATGATATATATTTTTTTCCTTTTCTTCCTTAGACCTCTTATGAAGCCTGCTGAATCTATCCTTTATATTTCAATGTTAGCTTCAGTGTGGCCTTGGCCAGTGCTTTACAATGTAAGGGAGTTCTGGGTCCCTTGTTTGTGTAGAACTAGGGTCTCTGGAGGAATCCAGAACTTGAGTGGCATGTAGAAGCTGGGCAAGAAGAACAAAGAGAAGGCTTAGAATGAAGAAAAGAGGAAGCCTGAACATAAGGGATTTTCTTCCATTTTCCTGAGTGCTCGCAAAAGTTAGAAATATTGCAAGATTCAATTGGTCAATGGGCCTTTAGACCAGGAGCCAAACCGAGTGGGAGTAAGTGGATGAGGAGGCAGCCGAGAGGTGAGTCAGATGGAATTTGGGAGTTCCCTGTGGTGAGATAGAGTCTGGGACCCAGATAAGGGAGTCACCTGCTACTTCCCTATTCCCAGGCTTTTCCTGTAGAGAGCCTTGGTTGCCTGGCCAGAGCCTTTGAGAGCTCTGCTGATGAGCTGAGAACCAACCCTAGAGTGAACTTGCCAAGGGGAAGAAATGGTAAAGTCAAGCAAAACTCTTGGTGCTGGCCCAAGATCTAAGTTAACTTTCACTGCTGTCTCTAGGGAGTAAACTTATGAGGAGGAGAGGAGGGGATGGGCAAAGTCACTTCCCCAAATGAGACCAGAGTGTGAATGAAGAAGAAGATCACTTGGTGAATGGAAGAAGGTGTGTGGTAATTGTCCTGGGCCCTCACACCAGGATGCCAAGGCTGAGCTAATCCCAGAGTGGAGAGCAAAGCTAATGGGAAAATGTGAACCAGTCACTGACATCCATGAAAGAAAAATGGCGCAGGACTAATCACACACACACAGCTGGATAAGAAGCAGGTTTATCGTCAGGAGCCTGACAAGGCTTCCTGCAAAAAGAGAGGGACAGCAGCAGCAAGGAGGGAGAGCAGTATTGTGATTGGGCCAGAAAATGGAGGGAGGTTTTGAGACGAATATGAATGGGCTCCTGGTGTGAGGTGATAGAAGGACTAGAAACATCCCAGACAGTAGGGT